TCTCTCTCTCTCTCTCTCTCTCTCTCTCTCTCTCTCTCTCTCTCTCTCTCTCTCTCTCTCTCTCTCTCTCTCTCTCTCTCTCTCTCTCCCCTGACGTTGCATAACTAGAATCAATGTCAAAATCTGTTGAGGTTGCATAACATGGGGGAGGTAAGTTGGGCTCACGGTATGTTAAGCAAGGTCCTCGACCTGACCTTTTATTGTCAATCTGAGCAAAGAGCAGATACATCCAGAGATTTTCATGGTCCCATTCCGATAGTAGCAATCTAGAAAGAATCCTGCACCAGGTGATAAACATCACCCACCGAAAGTGCTCACACGACCTAGCTCACTGTGTATTTTTTGTTGAGCAGTACTTCCCAGACGAATAGGCACACAAGGATGAGTACAACTCAGCAAAGACTACGACCTGAAGTGCCTTGTCTCGGGTTAAGCCACGTCATGCGACAAAATCATTGCTGAACACATCGACTCCCACATGGTGCACGATGAGAGCCGTTCCAGTCGTGTAAGATAGGAAAGATTTGCAGTCATAAGAGCACACAATTCCCCATATTTATGAGAAGCGAGGCTGATTGCCATTGCAGCCAGGTGAACCCTATGACAAGATAGTATTTGGTAAGGAGTCATGAAACTAGACGAAGCGCTGCGCACCGCTAGCGCCCTGGTACCTCGCGGGGGACCGGTTGGCAGGGCCCAGCCTACTCTCTGCGCGACGCGTCAGTGAGGCTGACGTGGCCTTCACATCGGACCGTATGTGCGCCACGTGGCGTCCAACGTAGTGCCCGTTGAGAAGGGTGTGTCTGGCGGGGGAGGGGTGTTACTAGGGTTGTGAGTGCGGTGTGTGGCGTGGAGAAGCTTAATGCCGCAGAGCGATATAGGGTCGTTTGTGATGGAGCCTGCAGCATCGACGGGCCATGCCTCGTCTCTTTCATGGTGGGACACGGCATCACCGGCGGACATAGTTGGCGTGTATAAACAACAAATATGCGAGGCAATCGAGGTCATCCTGCAAGCCGAGGGTAAACTGCCGCTGTTGATACTGCATGAGGTTGACGACTCCATCCTTGAATGGTGGGACGTGCTGCATCAGATCGCTTCCTCGTTGCCGGGCACTCTTCATGAGGAGCCAGCAACAAGTGATTTACAAGAGTGTTTTTTGCAATTGGAAGAGCTTCAACAAATTACAGCACAACAGCTGGCGGCGATCACCATTGGAAATTTGCCAGTGGATGTAACAACGATACTGCTGTTGCTCCCACCACCACCACCAACAACAACAACAATACCAACACCATCAACAACAACAACAACAACAACGATAACATGATGGCTGCAAATGAAGACGATGGTGGCTGCCAGAAATACGGGAGGGTAAGTGTGTTTGGGGTTTCCTTTTTCTCCCCCCCCCCTTCTCTCCCCCCCTGTCCCTTCTCCTTTGCAATTGTGTTGACGATAGGGGGGCAGGGCGAGAGGCCTGTTTGCATGCTTTGCTTAGCATCTTGGAAGGGGAGGGGGGGAAGAAAGGGGTGGGGGGGGCGCATGAGGGGATAGGATAGAGACTAGAACTACCTTTGTTGGTATCCACGTGGTAATACGGTAGGTTTTGCCACGTGGCAACAGTGTAGGAGGTACTACGGTTAGCCACTGTGATAAATCTTGCCACGTGGACAGGGTTGGAGGACGGGGTGATTGGCGTTAAGGTTTTTTTGAAACTCCTCTGGGTTCTCCCACGTGGCTACTCTGTTTTTAGTTTTTCCTAGGATGCCTGCTCTGAATGCCCCCTCTTCTCATGGCGCAGTATGATAGATGAGTACTTCGGAGCAGGGATATGAACTCATGAATTGGTGGGCAGTAAATCCCCTCTATTGAGGGTAATCGAAGCTGTTCACCAGTTATAAATATGTGCCTGCGTTGCTGCTCGGCTGAACTTTTGCATCCCTATTGGGGCGGCCACGTGGCATGCATATATGATTTCGTTTTTTTTAGCACTAGTTTTCCTACTCTGATTGTCCCTCCCTCTCATGGGGCTGCACGCTGTTGTTACATGTTGAGGGTTTCGGAGTAGGTGATAAGGACCTTACAGAGTGATGGGCAGCTGACCCCTCGGGTGAGGGCAATTCAAGCTGCCTGTTAGGCTAATGCTGTGTGCTTACGTGTCAATGCATTAATCTTTCATGTTTACAAAAAAAAAAAAAAAAAAAAAAAAAAAAAAAAAAAAAAAAGATAGTATTTGGTAAGGCATAACTTTGCTTAGCCCTAAGGAGTTGTCACCATTCTTAGGGGTTGTATCCCCCCTAGCAACCGTTCTGATGGTTTTTAAATGTCACACGAAAAAGTGGGACAACCAAGGGTGTACATCATTTGTTGTAACATAGTGAAGACACTGAACTCTCTAGGGCGGTTTCGTATCTCGAAATCATTAGCATTAATGTCTGGGATAATCCACATAAGAATGGAACCCAAGGAAGCCTGATCTTCACGGTAATCCTTTCCCTCGGATATGTCGCATATGAATAACCGAATGAGAATGATTTACCTGTACATGTTGCTAAACCATGAAGTGGCATGAACATTCTCGTGGGACACATTCAAATGATATTCATATAGTCAATGAAGTTGAATGTGATTCATTTCAATCTGCATGTCTTCGATTGGGTCTTTTGCAATCTAATGATGCATATGATCAATCCATCGATACAGTCGCAAGTTCACAACACAGTATACGGTGAAAAGTTTGAAAGGTTCGTAAAATATTGTCGTTCTTCTCGCATTTGGTCGAATAAATGATCCTCTGCATTTCTTTGTGTGACACGTGTATTAAATGTGTGGTGATTACCAATATCATGCACACATTCAAACTATTTTTTAATGATATTTTACAGTTGTCATTTATGATTCCTCTCATATCTTGATTATACTCCGTAAGAGTCTGGGGAAAATATCCAACAGGTCGCTACTATGAGAGCATTGCAAATGACAGTACTAAACATTTTAGGATTAAAACAGTGTCATAATTTATAAACGATGATTTGTCATATATGGTCTGATTCAAATGCAACGCAAAAGGGATAAAAATTTTCGGCCACCTTCAACCACGACAACGAGCAATAGTTGACCGAGTTATTTGAGTTGTGCTTGAGAAAAAGCAATGCTCCGTATTTTTCTCGTTGCACTAACTAGCATAAACAACTTTTTGCATTGAGACTTTTTGGCTGGTATCCGCTCCCCTTCTGGTGTCGAACCTGACGTTGCATCCAGTGGAGAGTGAGAACTCTTCTAACTGGGGTGAAACATTTCACTGGATAAAACACGACCATTTCCAATTTCAAAGAAAGAAGGATCTTGTAAAACTTCTCCGCCATTGAATTGATTGTATGGGATGAGGCTCCAACGATTGACTCGGTGTCCCTTAGAAGCACTTTAGATGACACTTCGTGACCATTGTAACATTGATGAATCGTTTGGTGGGAAAGTTATCCTTCTTGCATGTGATTTTAACCATGCCAAGGCATCCACCCAATGCATTATTTTGTGTATAGCAGGGCGCTCCGCTACTTCTCACTTTTGTTTTATATCATATCATAGATTGATAGAGCCTAAGGCGGCACGCCCGTCAGTCAGGGTGTGCCGTATGTCGGTCGCCTTATCTTATCTATATGATTCTATATCTAATTTATCTGAACAATTACTTAGAACTTATCTCCATCCAATAGAGATTGGTGGAAGATTCGAGGGAGTAGGATTTCAACCTGTGAAACGCAAATCGGGAGACCATCCATGAAGACATCTTTTATATGGAGACTTCTTGAGACTCGTCAACTAAGTGAAATATGCAAGTTTTAACAAGCAACCGAAAATATGCAACTTTTAAACACAAAGGATGATAAGATAGCGAAACAATATGCAAACTTTTTCTTGAATGATGGGAGTAAAACATATCCTCGGGGCATTTCTGATAAGCTTTTACTCCAATCAAGCCTCCAGCTAACATATGTACGCATAAACCTATTGACGAGTTGATTTCATGAAACATTCAACAAATGTTTCGCAATATATTGACTTTTTTTTCC